CAAAAAAAAATGCCCTGTATTAAGTTCTTCTTTGCCCGTATCAAAGTCAAAGTCACTGAAATCTTTACGGGATCACGTCAAAGTCCAAGCAGTCCTCAGTCAAAAGTCAATATCCTGCTCTATAAAATGGCCAGCTGGGGCGTCTCGGCTCTTCAGCGGCTCGCTAACGTCTCGGCTCTTGTCTGCGCGGCTCTCTAACGTAATTCGTCTAGGCGGAAGCCAGTGAGCGTGTCCCCGATGGCGTCTTCAGTCACACGGGCGATTCGCTGGAGCTCTCCTTTGATCGCCAGAACATTGCGCATCGCCTCTGCCGCCATCCTGGAAAAGAAAGAGAAACGAGAGGGAGAGAGACGGAAGAGATGAGAGATGAGGGAGTAGAAGAAGAGCACTCACACGCAACCGGGGCTTCGTGCTATGGGGGAAATCGGGAAGCGCAAAGCAACAAAACTGGAGAAGATCGGAGAAAAGTTCGAGCGTGCTGTTCTGGATGCCGAAAAGGCTCTGCGTGAGCTTGTTGTAGATTTCTAGTTGAATCTTGTGTGCCGTCGGTGCCGCATTGTCAAAGTTCTATTCTACGCAATTTGTTCTCGGCCATGGGCGTCCTCTTGTCTCCAATACATTCATCTTCACGGCTCGCATCCAATCCTTGAACAGCCATGCCTTTCTCCAGTGCATTCATCTTCACGGCCTCTCCTTGCCGCCAAGCTCGTGCAAACTTCAAGTGACACAAAGGAAAAAATCGAACCGAGGAAACACCAAACTACCAAACTCTTACCTATGCCGCTCACTCTCCTCTTCCGATTGTCACGTACTTGGGCTTAAAAACTATAGCGATCATACCACCTGGAATTTTGTGATGGTAGAAATTTGTCTCGCAACTTTAAAAAAAAGAGCTTACCTTCAAAAGAATGATGCAATCTAGATCTCGGCCAAGCACCACATTATAGTCCTGCCAACACCGGAAACGCAAATTGTACGTAGAGATCAAACAATCGTAAACCATTCCGGAACGTCTGACAGAGCCGAATATCCTGCAAAACAAAAGCAGCTATGTAATTGCCTTGACACTGTCGAACTTGACTTGCTTGCTAAGGGTGCCCTCTGTCTTCAAAGTTTCCTGGCAGAAAGAATTACGTGGTTAGACGCACTAGGACCAGCTCTAGAGACTGCTTACTTTCTGGGGCTCGTCTCGTTAATTCCTCGCCACCTCACCAGATCGATTGCCTCCTCCGGTTCTTCGATCTAAAGCGGGAGTAAACGAAGTAAGAAAGAAAAAAAAGTGTTGTTTACCTGTGCAGAAGTCACGTTGAAACGTCCATCTGAAGCCATTGGTCTTGTTCTCTTGCGCTTCCAAACTCCGTAGCTAGACCCGCCTGTGTATGGTCGATAAGTAGCAGAAGAAGAAGACATAACCTGCCGGTTGCTCAGAAGCGCAAGAAAGCGTTCAAACTCGTTTTCTTGATGAATTGAAGCTCCTACCCTGTGCCTGCCAATGGAGCTTGTCAAGTTAGACGACAATCACCACAATGGAGTAAACGGCGCTTACAAGAACACCTCGCTACTAGTTAAACTCGGCTAAACATTACTTGATTCGAACCTGTAGCCTCATTTTACTGTTTTTCGGCACATCCCTGGGCTTGAATCTTTGTTCCAAAGGATAAGTTTTTACTTATTTATTTCAAGGAACTCTTACCTCTTCCAGACCTCGTCAAGCCTCTCTTCAATATACTGCACAACGTCGGTGATCTGTTTCTGCCAAGTCTTTGCACGACACATCAAATAAGACAGAAACTTCCGACGTCGACTTAGAGCTCACCTGTGTCCCGCATAATCCCGAGACTCTTCGTACACCACCGATGTCCTTAAGACGATCAAGACTGACGCAATCTGAGACATAGATGCTGTTCAGAAATGCCACGAAAAGATGAATAAACTATAGAAAAAGAGACAGACATTCAACATCACCTGGAACTGGAACTGACTTTAGCCGCCGCCACACCAGCTCACAGCAGTAATCGGCACCTTTGGAGAACACAGCTCGAATGCGATCAAGTGAAAGCTCTCCAGTCCTCGATTTCCCACTCCCAAAACTCGTTCTTTCTGCTAGAGCTCCGCCCGAAGCCCATACATGATTTGCAAACTTAGTGTGGATAAGTATGCCTCGTCTCCCTGATTCTGAAGAGGCCGTGAAAGACATTGGAAAGTGTCCAAACGCTACCTTGGCGGAAGAACTGCGTGACTGCTTCTTTTCAAAGCCTTCGAGCAGGGACTCCATTTTCAGGGAGTCTGTCGCCAAACAGATTTGTTGGCCACGCGAAGCCCGATGGCCATGATATCATCAAAACCAAGAAACAAGTACGTCCAGCCACCAGGAACCTATCAGAGAAGAAATAGTTTTCCACTGTAAGTTTCACAAGCAATGATCCAAGTTAACGCACCGTGACAGTTCCCGCTTGAACAGGATCGACCGACACGATTCATATCTGCGCTGATGCTGTACCAAGAAAAGAAGTCCAGTTCGCGATTGGGGACACCAACCCTGTCATGGTTGCCACGAAGATCGAAGAACACACTTTGTGGCAATCGGCTCTCTTTCGATACGTGCTTCATAGTTTTGTATCCACTCGGCTTCGTCTTGCCTTCTCACAGAGAGGTATCTCTGTTCTTGGCATCTAGAACGAAATGCAAGGAATTTTTTAAAAAAAGTTCGTGGGAGAGACCAAAATTACCAGTGAGATCGCCGGTGACGAGCACCAGGGCAGGCCGGACGAGCGCCAAAAGCCGCGAGGCCAGACTTCCGCTCGATTTGGATGAAAAACACTCACATGGAGATCGGAGATCTGAACGGCCCAGTGGCATCCCGCTCGCGCTCTTCGCCAGGATCGGGTGCGAGGCGACAAAGATCGATTTCTTAAGCGCCTCCATAACCTGAAAAATATTTTAGGGTTCTTGAGAGAATTATTGCCACTTCATTTCAATTAAGTTTTGGATTAGGAACAAATGCTAATGTGTGTGACGTATGCCAATATTCCGGCCATGGCCGAGCTTCATCCGTTTCCATCATTAGCGGGCACCATTTATATTTAATTGGCGTCACAAGCTCTTCAACCCTCCAGACTTGAGTCTTCATATCAAGAACTAAATCTTTTGTCCATGGAATAAAGTGGAACTCATCATCCAAGCACACAAACACTTTCTTTGTCCTGTCCTGGATGACTACCGTCCCAGAATCCCATTTTACCTCCTCTTTTACAAAACCGTCAACACTTTTTACCAGTGATAAACGCATAGAATTCTTCACAGGTCTCGCAGTCATGAGCTCTCCTCTCAGCAATACTAATCCAAACATACCATACTTGTAATTCTCCAAACTTTCCAAACTCCCCACAAGCTCACATTCACGAGCTTGAAGATTGTAAACCCAGTGACCGCTTTCCCCTAAGATGTGGCAGTGCTCAAAATCAGTCCATGCAATCCTATTTCTCCTCCAGTTTGGACCATTAACTTCTATCCACTCGTTCTCACCACCAGCAGTATAAGAATACGCATAAAAGATGTCAAAGTCGACAAAAGATATGCAAAAGCTGCTGCCATCTTTCGCGGCAAGCATGGCGAAGTTCTCAGGTTCAATCCAATCATGCTTTATTTCTGGGCAGTGTGGTAGTGTCACTGAGCTGGATGGTACCAAGGGATTGTTTATCACCAAAGAGACCGTCTTTCCTTCTGTGTAGTACCTCCACAACACCCAACCATTTGAGCTCGCCACTGGAATGCTTGATGGCGAAACTGACACTTCCGGTGGTAAAAAGAAAGTGTTGGGATTGTAGAGCTTGCCACTTTTAGGGTTGAAGCACGCCAGCCTTCTTAGTTCCACTTTAAGGAACAAGAGCGGGGAATTACACCTCTGCTTGATCTGGCTGCCATCTCCACGAATAAACGTATTCCATTCCTTGCAGACAAGGCTCGCTCGAACTAGCGTTTCAACATCCAGTAGCTTGGACAAGATATAGGACCAAAGAGCGTCTGGTAATCCGCCGTCTGCTGACATCAGAGTACAGAAAAGGATTTATAACATGTTTATAACCTTTTAATTGTAGAGGATATTCGCAAATGATATAAAGATTCGCGCCTAGTGGCATGACACGAATCCCCTCTCTGCCAGCTCAGCCACAAGACATAAATAAATTAAAACTTATCTTTTGGAACACAGCCCAGGAATTTGTGCTATGAAGGCTTGGATGTTTGAATCAAGCAAGTTTTCCGCAGGGAGAAGTGACAACGAGTGCCAAGCTTGTCCAAGCTCTTGTAAGCGCCAGTTACTCCACTGTGGTGATTGTCGTTTAACTTAAGATCCATTGGCAGGTACAGGTTAGGAGCTCCAATCTCTTGAGAAAGGAAGATCGAAGAACACACTTTGTGGCAATCGGCTCTCTTTCGGTAAGTTCTTCCATGGTTTTCCACTAACACAGCAGCTTTGCTGGTCACCCCGCAAGTGTGGAAGTTCCCAGCTGAGATGAAAATAGCTATGTCATTCTATGTAGATCCGTTTTGCCAGGTTTGGTTTCTTTTTTTTTTCACTTCTCATGTCTTTTTATGATCTATAGATTTCTTGAGCCAGCTCTCGTCCTGCCCAACTCGAAATGTACAAAGGCAACTCCATCGCGAGGAGGTCCAAGAGAGTAGCTCATGAGCAAAATCACCACCGTGACGATTGAACGGCCCATGCGACAAATCGATCTTCATCTCTTCGCTGGCAAAGACCTAGACGAAAATGAAAACTTTATCAAATTTAAGTAAGTTTTGGATTAGGAACAAATGCTAATGTGTGTGACGTAGGCCAATTTTCTGGCCATGGCCGAGCTTCATCGGTTTCGGTCATTAGTGGGCACCATTTAAGTTTAATTGGCATCACAAACTTTTCCACCCTCCACACTTGAGTCTTCAAATCAAGCACCATCTGTGCTTTTGTCCCTGGAAGAAAGTAGAATTCATCATCCAAGCACACAAACACTTTCTTTCCGTCATGGATAACTACGGCCCCAGAATCCCATTTTACCTCCTCTTTTACAAAACCGTCAACACTTTTTACCAGTGATAAACGCATGGACTTCCTGACAGATCTCATAGTGATGAGCTCTCCTCTCAATGAGACTAATCCAAAACCATTCGCATAAACCTCCAAACTTTCAACTTTCCCCACAAGCACACATTCACCAGTTTGAGGCTTGTAAACCCAATGGCCGTTTTGCCCTAAGATGTGGCAGTGCTCAAAATCAGTCCATGCAATCCTATGTCTCCTCCATCTTAGATTCTTATTAACCTTCTTCCACTCGTTTTGGCCAACCGCAGAAGCATACGCATAAATCTTATCAACATTGACAAAAGATAAGCAAAAGCTGCTGCCGTCTTTTGCCGCAAGCATGGCGAAGTTCTCAGGCTCAATCCAAAATCTGTCTATTCCTCGGCAGTGTGGTAGCTTCACTGAGCTGGATGGTACCAAGGGATTGTTTATCACCAAAGAGACCATCTCTTCTTCTATGTACCTCCACAGCACCCAACCATTTGAGCTCGCCACTGGAATGCTTGATGGCGAAAATGACAGTTCAGGTGGTAAAAAAAAAGTGTTAGGATTGTAAATCTTGCCACTTTTAGGGTTGAAACACGCTAGCCTTCTCCATTCCACATGAAGGAACAAGAGTGGAGAATTACACCTCTGCTTGATCTGGCTGCCATCTCCACGAATAAACGTATTCCATTCCTTGCAAACAAGGCACGCTCGAACTAGCGATTCAACGTCCAGTAGCTTGGACAAGATATAGAACCAAAGAGCGTCTGGTAATCCCGCGTGTGCTGGCATCGTTCCTAACTAGCGAGAGAAAACAAAAGAGCCATATTCGGTCTGCTTTTTTATTGTAGCGAATATTCTTAAAATTCTTTCCAGGAATTCGATCGCATTTGTGGAGATCTGTCTTTGACAAAAGCGATTCACAACAACCAACCTAAACATCTAGTTCATTCACAGCCGCCCCTGCAGTCAGCACGGCCCGTTCAAAGGCCTCCCCGAGCTTCTCGAGCTTCTTTGCCTTGGCCTTGCATCTCTCCCCTTCCGGGCAATCGATCGCGAGTAGGGGTTTTCCTGTAGGATGCGATTTATCTCCTTCTTGAATTCCTTCCGGTCGAAGGAATTCATGGTGTCCCCGATGGCAATTTCCGTGGCACGCAGGAGGTCATGGAGCTTCTCCTTGAGCTCGATAACGTCACGCACCGCAGCATTCAGCTCTTCTTTTCCCGTCATCCTGGAAACAAAACAGACCAAGAGAAATGTGAAATGTGTGTGAGAGAGAGGGGCGGGGCGGGAGAGCACGAGCGCGAGAATGAGAAGGAGAGTGCACGAGCGCGAGGGACAGGGAGAGAGCAAGCGTGAGAGGAGAGGGAGCCCAGAGGGAGAGGGAACACGAGCGCGAGAGAGGGAGAGGGAGAGAGCAAGAGCGAGAGGGAGAGGGAACACGAGCGCGAGAGAGGGAGAGGGAGAGAGCAAGAGCGAGAGGGAGAGGGATAGCGCGAGCGCGAGAGGGAGAGGGAGAGGGAGAGGGAGAGAGCAAGCGCGAGAGGGAGAACGATAGCGCCAGCGCGAGAGGGAGAGAGCAAGCGCGAGAGGAGAGGAAGAGCCCGAGCGCGAGAATCAGCAGTTGAGTCGGGGTGGCCGCTTGCCGAGACGTGCTGAGACGAAACCACGAAGCAACCCAATCGACCAGAAGAGCCGAGAAACATTTTATAGGCACCCAGGTTGAATAACTTTTTGACTTTGACAACAAAGAAAATCTTAGACTTGGACTATTCTGTTAAGATCACTGCTCCACGTGTTTCTTTGCCTTGAGAGTAGACTTCTTGTTACGATCTGGCGTGGAGTATATTTACAAAAACGCTAAAACAATGCAACGATGTTTTCTTGGCTTAAAAATTTTCAAGGACTGAGTTTAAGCATTATGGAGCTTGTGAGGGATTATATAGTTTACATATCCACGTGTATTTAATCCCCGCCTTCACCGTTCAGGATGATATCCTTAGACAATGTGTCAACTTTGGTCATTTGCTTCGAGCAATGGCAAGTGCACTTCTGGAAACTTATGGAATTTAAACTAGTCAATAATTAATAACAACTCTTAATGAATGTTTAAAATTCATAAACACTACAATATACTGTTTATAAATTATAAATACAAGATTAATCTAAATTAATAAAACAATTAGATGGTAAAATATCCCAGAATATCAAAGCATATTCTAGGTATATCTTTACAAGCTTTCTTAAGCAAACCAAAAATGTGAAAATACTATTTATTAACGACAGTTAGTAATAATTATCATTTCTATATTATTTATTAATTATTATGAAAAATAGAAAGTCAATTTATTTAATGGTTTAAGAATATTTCCCGGCTGACTGAAGAATTCTATTATCCTGGTAGGAAACGGATGAAGTAATTCCCTCAAGAACCCTAAAATATTTTTCATTTCGTCTAGGTTATGGCGCCTATCTGGCGCTTACCAGTAGCTTTGATCGCGCTCGCGCTCTTCGCCAGGATCAGGTGCGAGGAGACAGAGATAGATTTCTCAGATGCGCCAGACGCTGTCGCATGGGCCGTTCAGATCTCCGATCTCCATGTGAGTGTTTTTCATCCAAATCGAGCGGAAGATCTCGAGATTCTGGCCTCGCGGTTTCTGGCGCTCGTCCGGCCTGCTCTGGTGCTCGTCACCGGCGATCTCACTGGTAATTTTGCACTCTCCCACGATTTTTTTCTTAACATTCCCTTGCATTTTCGTTATAGATGCCAAGAACAGAGACCTCTCTGTGACAAGGCAAGATGAAGCCGAGTGGATGCAGTACCAGAAAACCATGAAGCACGTATCGAAAGAGAGCCGATTGCCACAAAGTGTGTTCTTCGATCTTCGTGGCAACCATGACAGGTTTGGTGTTCCCAATCGCGAACTGGACTTCTTTTCTCGGTACAGCATCAGTGCAGATATGAATCGTGTCGATCCTGTTCAAGCGGCAACTGTCACGGTGCGTTAACTTGGATCATTCCTCGAGCTTGTGAAACTTACAGCTGAAAACAATTTTTTCTCTGACAGGTTCCTGGTGGCTGGAAGTACTTGTTTCTTGGCTTTGATGATACCATGGCCATCGGGCTTCGCGGGCCAACAAATCTGTTTGGCCATCCGACAGACTCCATGCTTGGGAAAATGGTGTCCCTGCTCGAAGGCTTTGAAAAGAAGCAGGCACCCAGTTCTTCCGCCAAGGTAGCGTTTGGACACTTTCCAATGTCTTTCACGGCCTCTTCAGAATCAGGGAGACGACCCGAAGAGATTCTCGCGAGGCATGGCATCTCGGCATACTTGTGTGGCCACCTCCACACCAAGTTCGGAAAGCAGCTATATCGGCTTCACTCGTACCCGGGCAGTGGCACCTCTAGCAGAAAGAACGAGTTTTGGGAGTGGGAAATCGGGGACTGGAGAGGCAGCAGGACCGTGCGAGTGCTTTCACTTGATCACGGCCACACTTCGTTCGTGGATATCAGGTTGGACGGCACGATGAACTTCACGACGATAGTCTTACCGACATATCCTTTGGATTCGCGGTTTATGAAGAGGCATCCAGCTTACACTGGAGATGATGAAGACCACGGTGATCGCATTCGAGCACTTGTGTTCTCCGAGGTGCCGATAACATCTGCGGTGGCAAAAGTATACGACAGCAAGTCGGGCTCTCTCCGTCTGGTCGACGAACTTGATATGCAACTCACTTGGGGTCCCAACAACAAAGCAGTTTTCTATGAGACAAGATGGAGGAGAAACAGGTACTCGGATCCGTCGGCCCTGCGGTACTGGCTAGAAGTTTTGGTGACTGATTCTTCAGGCAGGAAGACTGCGAGCGAGCTTAGGCCGTTTTCGGTAGACGGCAAAGTCGCGGAACTTAAGTGGGGATTCTCGGAGTTTCTCGTGATGGGAGTACAGTGGGGCGATGCTTATCTGCTGCTTTTTTGGCTTAGCATTGGACTGCTGGCCGCAGTACTTTTACTGCCAAGGCTTGCGTACGTTCGTCTCAAGCAGAAGAAGGCGTATAAGAACTTCGTTTCTTCGGTGCTGGCCTGGAACACGAAGAGCGGGGGTTCGTATTTGGAGTATGCGCTGAAGAGTGTTGGATGGATTTTCATGGAAGGGTCTCGGAATGCCGGACTATGGTGGGGACAACTCGCCTTGGTTACTTGGCTAGTTTTTCTTCCATGGTTTTGGGGGTATCCATTTGGAGATGGCCATGCAGCAGGATATCTAAGCCGCACAGGTTGGCACATTCAGGAACTTGGAAAGTCTGGCTTAGCTTCCCCGGACGTCTTGGTCATCGTTTTGCCGTTTCTTTACATGGTCGTCTTGCCACTAAGCGTGGTGATCGCCGGTTTGTCAGCCGAGAGAGCAGCCTGCGAAGCCCATCAAGCAAAGCATTGTGGAAAAACGAGCAAGAGCGAAGGAAGTAAGGTGTCACGGAAGAAGCTGAACGAAAAGTCCGACTCTGGCCTGCTCCAGCTTCTGGAAAACGAGGCCAAAGTCGAGAAGAAGCGCTGCGTGGTGTGCTCGAGATGGAGGAGGAAAGCTCTTCTTGCAGTCTGTTTACTCATCGGCTGGCTTCATTGGCGGGTAAGCCTTTTTGTTCTTGTTCTTGCGAAGCTAGCTTTTCCGAAAACTTTTCTTCGTTTGTTCTTGCAGCAATGCTACTGGGTCGCGGTTGCTTTCGACTGGAAATGGGGATGGGCTTCTCCCGGCTTCGTGTGGTCCGTTCCCGTGCTCATGATCTCCACGATCTTCACAACCTGCGGGATTCGCAACAACTCAAGGCAAGTATACGAACATATTTGAGAGTAGTGTGTAGGGAGCACTGTCGTTTCCTTCCAGCGAAACAACTCTTTCAGCGGCCTCCAGAGCCCGTCTAAACTCTCCGTGAATGGCACACGCACAGAGAAGGCTCATCCAAGCCACAGCGTCCTCGTGAAACGGCATAGCTTCTATCAACTCTTGAGCTCGATCGAGCTCTCCAGCTCGTCCAAGGCTGTCTACAATGCAACCATAGTGCTCGGCGCTTGGAGAAATCCCATACTCTCTTCTCATCTCCAGGAAGTAGAAAAAGCTCGCGTCTAAGCTTTGGTTTGAGCTCTGGAGAAGGCTCACGAAAGTCACTGCATTGGCTTGTATGCCTTCCAAGCTCATCTCTCTAAAGAGAGTGGCTACCACGGTTACGTGACCACGGTTGGAATATGCCGCCAGCAGCGTGTTCCAGGTGACCGTAGTTTTCGTGCGTATGTCGCGGAATGCCGCGGCGGCCAGCGGTAGCGCGCCCACCCTGCCGTACGCTTGGGCCAGTGCCGTACCGGTGAGAGGCTCGCGTTGGCGCTGGCTATGGAGAATATGCCCGTGGATGTCTTGGGCGTCGGCTAGCGAGCAGCAAGCGCCAAGCACAGTAGCGAATGTTACGTCGTTCTTGGCGAGATCCATGGCGCGGTAGAGCTCCAGGGCTTGATCGAAGCGTCCGGCGAGCGCGTAGGCCTGGATTATGCTGTTCCAGGAGACGACAGTTCTAATCGCGCGGGGGATTCGATCGAAGACGGCCTTGGCGTCGGCGAGGCTTCCACACTTGGCATACATGCTGATGAGCGCGTTGCTCGTCACGGCGTCGCCGATTTGGTCGTAGGCGCGGGAAGAGATCAGGGCGTGCGCTTGCTTGCCCTGGGAGAGCCCTGGGGTTCCAAGATTGGAGCAGGCGCCAAGAATGCTGATCAATGCGGTCTTGTCGATCAGCCTGGGATCCATCTGTCGGTAGAGGTCCAGCGCGTCGGATGGATGCCCGTGCTGGGCATACGCAGTGATCATCGCAGTCCAGGAGATTTGGTCTCGGTTCTTGCCCAGGAGCCGAAATATTGCCATGGCATCCGATAATCTTCCCCAGCGGCCATAGATCGTGAGCAGAGAATTCACCACAGCGACATCACTGCCACATCTGGAGTGGACGGCTTCGAGAATCCGCCGGATTCTAGCGGACTGGGGCAGGATCGAGCAAGCGCGGACGACGCAGAGGAGCGTGATCCGGTTTGGCCTCACGGATCCATCGCAATCCATTCTCCAGAAGAGCTCCAGCGCCGCCAATCCATCGCCGCTACGCAGGCACGCCCCAAGCACGATATTCCAGGAGAAGAGATTCTTGTCGCGAATATCTTGGAAGGCCGCGATCGCGTCGCGCGTGCTGCCGCATCGGCCATACATTTGCACGACGAGATTGTGGAGGTAGGGTTCTTGGGAGCGATCGTGGAGCGCGACCAGCGAATGCAGGCGCTTGGCATCGGCTAGCACGCGGCATTTCCTCAGCGAGAAGAAGGAGCGATCCTTGTCCTCTTCGAGCTCCTCCTCCTGTTCTTCGATCCGGCGCTTCTCCTTGGCGAAGGATCGCAGCTTCTGGATACCAATCGAGCTGGAAGGTATGGCGTTCATATTTCTTCCATTGTTTTTTAGTTCTAGGTTTTCGTCCAGGGAGTGATAGCAATGGCGGAAGGGCTTAGAGTGAGAGCCAAGAGGAAGGCATCGTATTTCGAGGACTCCTCGGACGAGGACGACTATGAGGATTCCAGGGAAATGGAGCTGGATGGGGCCGGCGAGGACAGCGATCTGGAGGAGGCGGTGTCGAGCAAGGTATGGATTTTCGATCCTGGATTGCTGGATTTCACGGTGTGTGTTGTAGAGCGAAGATTTTTGCACCATTTGCAAAAGTGGTGGCAAGGTTTTGTGCTGCGATGCTTGCACTGCGGTGTATCATCTCCAGTGCTTGGATCCACCAATGAAGTCTGTTCCAAAAGGGAGCTGGAGATGCCCTAAATGCGTGAGTGCTAGAGCTAGCATTCTCGCTGCTTGTTGTGTTAGTGTGCGCGAATGCTTTTCGTTTCTAATGCTGGAATTTTTTGTTTCTTTCAGGAGGAGCCTCTTGCAGACATTGAAAAGATTTTAGATTCTCAAATGCGGCCCTTGAAAGTTACGGAGAAGGAAGACGAGGAAGGCAAGAAGGAAGAAGAAGAAGAGCTGATGAAGCATTACCTTGTCAAGTGGAAGTCGAGGTCTTACCTTCACTGCTCTTGGTAAGTCTTTCCTTTTTTGCTTATAGACACTCGTCATTCTTAAAAAGTATCACAGGATACCGCTGAATGAAATGGAGAGAGCGTCAAGGATGTATCCTGGATTGCGAATGAAAATGAACCATTTCCACAAAACGTGCGAGGCCATGAAAGAACTTGCAGACGAGGATCAAGGTCCAATTCGGGTGGAATGGATCACTGTTGATAGGGTCATAGACGAAAGGTATGTTTACGACGATTTTCTTGCACATTGACACTAAATTATTACTTTCAGGGAAACTGAAAACACCAAGGAGTATCTTGTCAAGTGGAAAGAACTCGGGTACGACGAGGCAACCTGGGAAGTAAAGGAGGACATTGCACAGTTTCAATCTCAAATTGACTATTACGAGAAAATTGCCAAGAGAGGACCAAGGAAAACTAAGAGGACAGCCGCTAGGCACCAGAAAACGTTCACTCAGTTTGAGACAACGCCTGATTTTCTTTCAGGTATTTACTTTCGACTTCTAAACGAAATCTGTTTCATACGTGTGTGGTTCTAGCAGACGGTGTTTTACATCCCTACCAGCTAGAAGGCTTGAACTTCTTGCGTTTTGCATGGCAACAAGAGAAGCATGTTATACTTGCGGACGAGATGGGCCTCGGTATGTGCATTACATATTCTTGAATGGGTCTTAACCGTCTTTAATCAGGGAAAACGATTCAAACCATTGCTTTTCTGGCTTCTTTGAAACAGGAAGAAGTCACGGACCCCCATCTTGTTGTAGCACCATTATCGACGTTGCGTAATTGGGAACGGGAGTTTGCCACTTGGGCACCGGATATACACATTGTATGTTAATGTTCAAAAACTCGTGAGGTCTTATGTGCTTATTTGCAGGTTGTATATGCTGGAAATGCCAAGGCACGGTCAGTTATCAGAGAGTTTGAATTCTTCTATCCGAAGACCGATAAAACAAAGAAGAAGTACTACTCAGAAAGAAAGCATTCGAAGCAAGATCGGATCAAATTCGATGTTTTACTAACGTCGTATGAGATGATAACTTTTGACGCAGCCATTTTGAAATCAATCAAGTGGGAGTGCTTGGTGAGTATATTGTTATTGTTTTGTCTACTACTCACTCATGCCATTGCAGATTGTGGATGAAGGTCACCGTTTGAAGAGCAAAGAGTCGAAGTTATTCCAAACGCTGCAAAATTACACGACATATCATCGAGTTCTTTTAACTGGCACACCTTTGCAGGTGTTTTATTTTTCTTTTGATCTTTTTACAACCGTAGCATTTGCCGCTGCAGAATAATCTGGACGAGCTTTTTACTTTGATGCATTTTCTCGACGCTAGCAAGGTAACGTTTTTGTCTGAGCTGCAACCTCACTATTATGGACCTTTTTTTTTGTTAACGCAGTTTTCAAGCTTAGAAGAGTTTCAGCAAGAGTTTAGAGACATTAACCAGGAAGAACAGGTGAGCAGGCTGCATAAGATGTTGGCCTCACATTTGCTTCGAAGTAAGTGTTTTTTTAATTTGCGTATTTGTTTTCTGGTACTAAAACTGTTATCCAACAAATAAGGGGTCAAGAAAGATGTACTGAAGCAGCTACCTCCTAAGAAGGAACTAATGCTACGTGTTGAGCTGAGCTCGGTGCAGAAAGAGCTTTATAAAGAAATTCTAACTCGAAACTATGAGGCACTGAGTAAGCGAGGAGGGCCTCAGGTATATGATCTGGTCGTGCGTCACTTCATTCTGACAGCAGTTACCCAGGTGTCTCTGAATAATGTTGTTATGGAGTTGCGAAAGCTGTGTGGACACCCATACATGGTGATTGAACCTGATTCCAAGAATGAGGAAGAAGAGAACAGGTAAAAGTTTTTAGGCTCACTAGTCGACTCATATTACCTTTTTGGTTCTGACAGACATAGAATAGAGTCTTCGGGAAAACTTTCTCTATTAGATAAAATGATGGTGAAGCTAAAAGCAAGCGGGCACCGGGTTCTTCTTTACTCTCAGTTTCAACACATGCTTGATATTCTTGAGGACTATTTAACTCATAAGGTACTTTTTCTTACTGAATTTTCATAAATATGGTGTGTTCCTAAATGTTTTTCGTTTTGTTTTTTCCCTTCAGAATTGGAGCTACGAGCGCATTGACGGGAACGTAACAGGGGCCGAAAGGCAGATTCGCATCGACAGGTTCAATGCTCCCAATTCGAATCGATTTTGTTTCCTTCTGTCAACCAGAGCTGGGGGCTTGGGAATAAACCTGGCCACTGCAGACACGGTTGTCATTTACGACAGGTATGGTCTTAAGTTTTTCAAAGTCAGTCTGGCAAAGACGGCATTTTTACCTCCGCAGCGACTGGAATCCTCATGCAGACCTACAAGCAATGGCACGTGCTCATCGTTTGGGACAAAAAAACATGGTAAATCGTACTTCGCTGGACTAAACGATATAACTTAACTTACTAGCTTTTATGCAGGTGATGATATACAGGCTGGTTACAAGAGGTAGCATCGAAGAGCGCATGATGCAAATGACAAAAAAGAAGATGGTATTGGAGCACTTAGTAGTTGGCCGTATGAAGACACAAGTCCTAAACCAGGTACGATGAAATTGCTCATCTATCTGATTATTCTCTTTGCTATTTTGTTAGGAAGAACTTGATGACATTCTTAGGTACGGTGCCAAGAGTGTATTTGGAGACGAGAACGATGATTCTGGAAAATCTTGGCAAATCCATTATGATGATTCTGCAATTGACAGGTGATCCCTATTTTCTGTAACGTGTGTGTTTAACTATAATGATATTACAGGCTACTTGATCGCTCTGATGTAGAGACTGGCCATGAGATGTCTACAGATGAGGACGACAACGACTTGTTGAAAGCTTTCAAGGTATATCTCTTGATCCTAACCTTGAATTAACAAATCGTAACAGGTTGCGAATTTCGAGTACGTCAACCATGGAAAAGGTCGGAAAGAAGAGGCATTTAGAGAATCGGAAGCAGACTACGAGGCGGAGCATCTAAGCTCTACAGAAAGGTTGAAGTACTGGGAAAGCCTTTTAAAAGAGAGATTCGAGAAGAAACACGTCCAAGAACAAGAAATGGGGAAGGGAAAGCGTAGTCGGAAACAGGTTCACTTACTTGCATTGATAATAACCTATAATCTGACTCACAAATGCAGGTTGTTCACGGTGAAGATGACTTGGCGGGAATGGATTACAGTAGTTCAGAGAATGACGACAACGATGAACTTGACACGGAGTACATACAGTCAGTGGAGGAAAAGACAAAGAAACAGAAAGGTGAGACGATGCTGAAATTTAATGTATCCAATTCTAACCTTTTCCGTAAAAACAAGGGGAGTCTACTGTACATCCTGCGCCATTGATGGAAGGGGATGGAAAGTCGTTAAAAGTTCTTGGATTCCGCCGAAAGCACCGAGTTCGTTTTGTACAGATTTTGATGAGGTTCGTGTAGATGCCTGCTTGTCGTTTAAATTGGTTTTATTGCTTCAGGTTTGGGCTTGGAGACTTCACCTGGAGCAGTTTCGTTCCTTATTTTAAGCAAAAGCAGCTTCACGAGATCAAAGAGTATTTCTAACAAGACCTTATACGATGATTCTGATAGGCTTGCTGTCAGGTATGGTACCCTCTTTTTGACGCACATTGCAGAAGATGTTACAGACTCAGACACCTTTGCTGGTAAGCGAATAAACAGAAGTGACGGTTTATGACGGTATGTACTTAGATGGAGTTCCGAAAGAAGGCCTTCGAATTCAAGATGTGCTGGTTCGAGTTGCTGTACTCCACCTTATTACAAACAAGGTAATTTGTGAGGCTTTTTCATCTGGTTGACAGCACCAGTCTTAGCAGGTTAAACAGTATACGCAGAATCCGAAGGCAAGGCTGTTCTCTTACGCAGTCTATGCTAAATTCCCTGCTCTAAAGGGCACAACTGTCTGGACTGAGGAACACGATAAATATCTACTGGACGCTATTATCAAGTTTGTCTGATCTTGAGATCATAGTGTTTGTTTGCTCACGAAATCATTGCAGGCATGGCTATGGTAAATGGCTTGAAATAGTTGAAGACGCGAGGCTACAGTCAGCTGTACGTGAAGAACTGAAGCTGCCACCGGTTGGTTCATTCTCGAGTCCAAAAGCTCAGGATACCGTGGTTAATGGCCACGCGCCGGAAAATGACAATCATTTAACCGACGCCGAAGCGTTCTTCAACAGGAGAATTATCGAGTTCGTGAAGAAACGAGTCGCACTTATGGAAAAAGTACTCAACGCTGAATATCATCTGGTAAAAGAGTCTCGACCCCCCTATCGTCGTCCCTGCGATTCTAACTTGAGATGTTCCAGGATGACCAAGATATTCCGGCCAATCGCAGCAACGGCGGCGTCGAGCCTGGCGAGGGACCAAAAACCTCCTACCAAAAGCCGCAACCTACATTTGTTCCTTATCCAACACCTTTGAGTGCGTTCCTTCGATTTAGACACTAGAAAAAACTCTAACGCGTTCGTTTTTGGACAGCTCCGGAAGAAGTCCTGGGAACGGCACTGGATAACGATCCTAAGCGGCTGAAAGTCCCAGCCTATTACAACGAGGTTGTGTTTGTTTCTCCGTTTGCAAAGGTTTGAGAGGCTCACGGCTTTCTCTGTGTCGCCATAGTTGTGCTCGATGATCAGCGAGAACAGGCTCGACGCCTTCCAGACTTACGCGGGGAACAAATCCGCCGGCATCCGCCTGCGCAGGTGCATTCGGCAGATCGACGTGCTCTGCTCGGAAATGCGACGAGGATTGGGAGTGAAAGGCGAAGAGGCTATGGTGGATGGAGCTCACGACAGGGACGACGTCTCGGACAACGAGGGGATTCACGTTGTCATCGACGACTAGAATCAAGGTTCTTCACTCTTGCTCGTCGCTATTCTTTTTTCGAGTCTCTCAAGTCCCTGTTTGTTCCAGGTTCTCGAGGCTGGAACCACGACTAGAATCAAGGTCTTGCTCTTCGCTATTCTCTTTCGAGGCTTAAAGTTCCTGTTTGTTCCAGGTGCTCGAGGCTGGAACCAAGATTAAAAATAGAAATTTTCGTCCACGGTTTGCTTCCTTGCTCTCCAGTCTTGCGTTTTTAATGCATTGAGAGGGATTTCTATTTTGCAGCGCTATAAACCCTGTAGTCTCTCTTTTACACTTGTATTTTAGGGTAAAGATGAAGTGGGCGCCTCGTCGATCCAGCGATCAGCTCCAGCAGCAGCCGCCGGGGTGCAAATGGGGCCACACCTGTAATGCGGTCAGGAATCTCATCTACATTTTCGGTGGCTACGGCCGGGACGAGTGCCAGACCAACGATGTTCACGTCTTCGACATTGGTATAAGTTTCCTCTTCTGGGTTTTCCGGAAAATATGGTTTTGATCATGTTTTTGATGGGATCGCGCAGGGACGTACACCTGGAGCAAGCCTGTGATGAAAGGAGCGCACCCTTCTCCTCGGGACAGCCACAGCTCCACGGCCGTCGGGTCTAAGCTCTATGTGTTTGGCGGTACTGATGGAACCAGCCCGCTCGACGATCTCTTTGTTTTGGATACTGGTAAGCTCCGAGTTCTATCGAGTTTTTTTTCTTGTTCTTATCATCCGATGCAGCTACCAACACCTGGGGGAAACCCGACGTTTTTGGTGATGTTCCTGCTCCGAGAGAAGGACATAGCGCGTCTCTCATTGGTGACAACCTGTTCGTGTTTGGGGGATGTGGGAAATCCAGCGATCCCTCAGAGGAGGAGTACTACAACGACCTCCATGTTTTGAACACGAGTAATATCCTGTTATTTTTCCTTGTTTTCTTCTAAACTTTTTTTTTTCCTGTAGATACTTTTGTCTGGAAGAAGATGTCTACCACTGGAGTCTCGCCTATTCCTCGGGATAGCCATACCTGCTCTTCCTATAAGAACTGTTTTGTTGTCATGGGTGGCGAGGACGGTGGTAATGCCTATCTAAACGACGTTCATATTCTGGACACAGGTACATACATTGTGCTGGTTTTAAACTTGCGAATTCATTTGCGTTTCCAGAAACAATGGCATGGCGGGAGGTAAAGACGACTGGTGCCGAGCTGATGCCAAGAGCCGGGCACACAACAATCAGCCATGGAAAGTATCTCGTCGTGTTTGGAGGATTCTCCGATGATCGCAAGCTATTCAATGACGTCCACACTCTCGATTTAAGTACGTGCACTTGTAGGTAGATTTGTTTCCTGTTGGTCTCATGGGGCATTTTGTAGCGACTGGTGTTTGGGCGACTTCGAATCCCTCTGGTCCCGGGCCTTCTCCACGTTTCTCCCTTGCAGGAGATTCCGTGGACGCAGAGCGAGGCATATTATTCTTCTATGGGGGATGTAACGAAGAGCTTGAAGCTCTGGATGACATGTATTTCCTCGACACAGGTTGGCTTCTTCTTTTATTGACGTTGCTGCCATTCTTGACAATATGGTTGCCGTTTTTCTGTGAAGAGATGCTGAGGGAGAAAGATCCATCAGAACCAAAGCTATCCATGCGTAAGGAACTTAAGAGAAGGCGGCAAGAGTATCGTGCCACGCCATTCGTGCTAGACAAGCAACGGGATGCGGACAAGAGCTTGGTTTCATCTCACGGAGGTATCTGCGGAAAACCTTGGACCTCTCCAATTTTTCCCTGTCAAACTCCTGCTACAGAGTTTCAAGCTCACGTCCAGCCGCTAGGCGAGAAGATGTTCGAGGCTAGAGTAAGCGACGTATTCAACTACGGTTACACGCTAGAAGCCTCCATCGATGGGAAGCTCTTCCGTGGGCTGCTCTTCTCGTACAAGCCTGGCTTTGCTCAGGCAGTGCAATCTTACATGGCAAGGTTTGTTTCGTTTGATCCTCAGTTACTCTCTAACGCCAGGAAGGAAAACATCACAGGAGGAAACCACAGGACGTCCAAAAGGCCGTAGTAAAGGCTAAACCGAGCAAAGAGGAGTCCGAAGAAACCATGGATTGTGCGCAACTTGCTAGTCAGGTATGATTTTTCGTGATGGTTTTATGTTTCTTCCTCATTTATTTTCTTCTTTCTAGCAGGTAGCAGAAGAGAAGAAGGCTCACGTAGCAAATCACTGTGCAGCTAAACAAGCCTCTCAAGGCGTGTAAAACTCATTTCTTGCTAACTTGTAAGTTACTTTTGAACTGAAGTGGCTTCTTTCCATTTATCTTTGTAATGGTTTTATCCTTGTCTTGGTGAAAGAGGCATGGTTCTTTCAAGGCATGCCACTGCTCCACCGTCAAGAACACTTCGTTGGCCTCATCAAGTGCTGCGTCGATGCCAGGAATCTTGCCTTGCTCCACTCCCAGATTCGCGAGAGCGGCCTTGGCACGGACAGATACCTCGGCAATCTTCTCATCCACAAGTATGGCAAGCTCGGAAACTCGGATCATGCCTTTCAAGTTTTCCAAGAGATCAAGCAGAAGAACATCTTTTCGTGGAGTTCCATGCTTGGCGCATTCGTCAACAGCAGGGACGCCGACGGCGCAAAGGTGGCGTTCGATCGAATGCCAGAGAGAAATAGTGTGTGTTGGACGTCGGTGATTCTACTAAATGCCAAGGTTGGGCATCTGCAGCTTGCGTTAAACATGTTTCAAAGAATGCCAGAGAGAGATATGATCTCTTGGACTGTCTTACTGCAAGCCACTGCCGAGAGTGGATTTTCTGGTCTTGCTCGAGCATTGTTTGAAAGAATGCCAGAGCAAGATCTAGTTTGCATGAACACAATGATAAATGCATATGCCCATTGTGGGTATCTGGACCAGGCAGAAGTTTTGTTTTGTCATCTGCCGGAGCGAACGGTTGTATCCTGTTCGCTGATGGTCAGCATTTTTGCAAAACTAGGCCGTGTCACGGAAGCAAAATGTGTTTTTGACTCTATGCCGCTAAGAAACGTGGTGGCGTGGAACGCGTTAGCAGCCGGATATGCCCATTGCGGGCATACACTCCAGTCGCAAAGAATTTTTGAGCTCATGCCGCTAACGAGCGCTGCGTCTTGGAACACTCTCGTCGTCGCGTTTGCAAACAATGGTCGCATTCAGGAAGCCCTCGAGACCTTCCATTCGATGCCCGAAAGGAACGAAATCTCTTGGAATGCATTGATCCAGGCGCAGAGCTCACCTGTCTGCCGCGAAAGAGTTTTCCAGACGATGCCCTCTTGGGACATCGTTTCGTGGACGCTTTTGATATCGATGTGTTCCAATGCCACAGAAGTGAAGCCCCTCTTTGACAAAATGCCCGCCAAGAACGCCGTCTCATGGACCGTACTCGTTTCTGCAAATGCCCAGGGCGGGCACGTATGGCAGGCCGAGGTGGCTTTCATACGGATGCCGCAGCACGGCCGCGTCGCCGCGACCAGCATGGTTGCGGCGTACGGCCATACCGGCCGGATTGCTGCCGCGGCTGATACCTTCGATTCCATGCTGGAGAAAGACGTGGTGGCGTGGAGCGCCGCCATGGCTGCAAATGCCCAGAACGGGCATGACGTGGAGGCCATCCGGACGTTCCACCTAGCGCTACTCGACGGCGTGGCTCCTGACCACGTTTGCTTTGCCAGCGTCCTACTGGCATGCGCCCACTTGGGGACGGTCAACGCCGGTCGTGACTACCTCGTGAGCATGAGCTCTGACCACCGCGTTGACCCCACCTGCGACCACTTTCTGACCATGGTTGACTTACTCGGCCGCGCGGGCCGGGTCAAAGACTGCGAGGACTTGGTCAACGCAATGCCGTACGTGCCCGGCGACGTGGCGTGGATGAGCCTGTTGGGCGCGGCCCGGTCGTACGGCAACATGGGAGCCGGCGTACGGGCCGCTGAGAAGTTGATGGAGCTCGAGGCGTACGGAGAGTACGGCGGCGGCGGCTGCCCGTACGTCTTGCTCGCGAATCTCTTTGCCGGGGCAGGGTGTCACGCCGAGGCCGCGAGGGTGAAGCGTGCAATGAAAGAAAGAGGGGTGAGAATCCAGCGCTGCGTGAGCAGCATTGAAGTTGGCGGTGTGGATCACAGGTTTTGCGTCGGCGACGATCTTGCCGCGCATCCACAGGGCGAGGAGATCGCGATGGAGCTCCGGAGATTGGAGAGGATGATGGTGGAGCAAAGGCTGTTTGCTCCAGAGGTCCGGGAGGTTCTTCACGACATTGGAGAGAGCGAGAAGGAGCGGCTCCTCTGGCAGCACAGTGAGAGGCTGGCGATCGGTTTTGGCCTGGTTGCCACTCCGCCTGGAACCCAACTGTGGATCATCAAGAACCTCCGGGTGTGTCTCGACTGCCACACCGTCACCAAGTTTATCTCGCTCGTCACCAAGCGCAGGATTGTTGTGAGAGACTCGAATAGATTCCATCATTTTGACGATGGAAGGTGCTCCTGCCAAGATTATTGGTAATGGTAAACGAAAGAAACAATACCTTCTATTCTTCTTTCTGTGTGAGAGAAGAACAACTATCTTAGTTTGCTGGAAACCGTCTTCTTTACCACTCGTAGCGACACCAGGAACTCGTCCAGCGATGACAGCGTTTTCATGTCTTCGCTGGAGAAAATGCTGCCCGCGTTCTTCCACAATCTCGAGAAGCCAAGTCGCAGCGACGAAAGGACGTCGTCATCCTCCTCTTCCAAAAGCTCGTCGATGAATGAAAAGGCCGCTCTCAGCTCCCGGGGTCCAGCTCTTATGGGTGCCGCGAAGTGTGCTGGTATGATCTGCCGGAATTTCCAGGAGCCTGTGATGAAATCTATCCAGTCTCTCACCTAAACGTTGTCTATACCAAGTCAAGTTCACGTACAAAACATAGAAATAAAAAGAAATACCTTCTCAGGAACTTTGCTAAAGACAAGAGTCTTCACAATTGGAGAGACAATGAGCCGCTTGGAGACTTGAGAGAATGAGTACTCTGGTTCCAGCAAGTTCGAGGGGCCTAGGAAAAGTATTTGCAGCACCATTCTTTCCCATCCTGCGGCAAACCACAACCTTCACAACCCAGTTCATTCAAGGAATCACGAATGCTCACCTTTCTGGCGATTTCGATCGTTGTCAATAACAGGTTCATCCAAAACCTCTTTGCCTTTGCTCAACAGCTTGACGGCCAAGCCGTTTCTAGCGGATGCCAGCAGCGCTTCCCTGCTCACAACCTCGGGAGGTCTCTCGGGTACGTAAATCACCGCGTCTGTCATGAGCAGCGTCCTCGACTTCTTGTGGAAGAATGCAACCTCGACGTAAGGTCCAATTCCTGCAAAACCATTTCCAGTTAAATGCGAAGATGAGTGAGCAGGAACAGCGCAAACCAACTTCAGGTGAGCTCAGAATCTTGTAGTCAATCTCACTCCCCCATGGAACCGAGCCATCGTCACGTAGCGTCCGAGACGAGAAAATTCCAAAAAATTCCAGCGGCAGGTTTAGAGGCCAGCTCCATTGACCAGGTGTTACCCACACCTGAGCCCGCGGGAAGTTCCTGGAGAAGGGCCCAACATAGACCTTGTGTTCGTAAGCAAAAGTTGGCAGCACGATGTACTCGATGGGTTTCTGCAGCTCCTTGAGCAGCTGGCAAGTTTCAACAGTGTGAGTGAGCATGGAGAAACTTACTAGAATAAACCGTGAGTACCTGGAGACACTCGCTGGTGGGAGCAATGGGAGCATGCACCCACAAGCCCCCAGACTTAAGCTTGATCACAGTCATTCGCACGTTGGTGCTGATACTGCTGAACCCAAGCCCTTGCTCTTGCTCAAAAGTCCAGATGCTGTCCTTGATCACCTAGAAAGAAGCCGATCATCAAATCCAGAAAGGAAAGAGAGATGACTTTCTTACCTCTTTTCGAACTGTCTTTCGTTGAAGAAATGGTCCCAGTGGAAAGGGGAATCCCGTAACATTCCAGTAGAAGCGCTTTGGCTTGCCAATAGCATCAGCGTCTTTAGCAACGCTTGCTGTGACGACGGTCCTACGTGCTAAGAACGAGCGTCTACAACTCAGGGGCTCTAGACTCGTCCCAGCAGATGGGAAGAAGCTACTCTTCCAGCAAAGCCCATAAGTTGCCATATCCAAACCTCTGGATTCAATCAATTCCAACCAGGGAAAAGGAATCACGAAAAGCAATGCCCAAATGAGCCATGTCACACAACAAAAATGCAACCATGTCATAACCAGGAAGGAAAAAAGGGTAAAGGATAGAAATTACAGCATTGGGTAGGAAAGAATGCCAAAAACGATCAATCACACACACACAAAGATCGCGAATGTATGTATGAAAATCAAGCTTATTGGAGTAAATGCCCAAGAAAGAAGGAAGAAGAAGGTAGAAAGAGGAGGAAAGAGAGGGTGAACACTAGAGATGCCGATCTGGGATAGGGGCGAGCAGCGTATGCTTTCCTGGGATCGATATTTCGGCCAAGTCAGTCGTATTTCTCCCTCCAATTCCAAATCAAGAAGAAGATCCATGACGATCCCAACAAGCAATCACCAATCATCTGCCTGATCGAGTCCCCAGCCAGCTCCTCCACCCTGATCTCAAACGCAAGCCTCCACACCACCATGAGGCCGTGAATGACGATACAGCCCTTGGCGAAGAAAGTTTGGAAATCCCGATCTTTTACAAAAGATACCATGAAGAGGAGGAGGCCAATGACGAGCAACAGCATCCCGACTAGGGATTCCGAGGTCGCGATGAGGAGCTGATCATAGGGCGTGGATCCAAGGATCTTGCTGGATGTCGTCTTGCCATGCCCGAATTCGGCCAGCTCCCACAGGAAGAAGATCATCAGGCAGCCGGAGACGCAGTCGATCGCTGCGTGGAGGAGGCACACCGCGCGAAAGCATCCCAATGCCGCCATCGCAATCCTTGCCTCCCAAGAACCCTAAATAAACAGGGGGGCTTTCCTCCGAGAAGAACTCCCTCGCCCATATCCACCAAAGTGCCGTACCGCATTCTTGGGCCCACCGTACTCTGTGTATATTCCATCCTCGGAATCTATGCGAATCTTTTCAATTTTTTCCCTTGCGGTCCTGTGCACCTATTTCTCATCAGACTGTGGCAGCAGTTTTCCCGTTTTTCGTGCTCTTCGATCGATCCAGTGTTTCTTTGTCGATCATCACTGGCTTGAACTGATGCAAAAATAAGAGAAAAAGAATTGGTCAGCTCGCTGATCGATCAATCAATCAATCACCCAGCTCCAAAGAAACGAAAAATGCAATGAAACAATCAAAAGCTGGGAGAGCGAAGGTGTAATGTAGACTAGAACATACAACACAAGAGAATGTGAGGAACACGGATCAAGCAATCACTATCGCGTGGATGCTCTTCATACATACAGACAAAATGGAAGTCCAAAACGAAGGAGCATGAAAAGGATAGACGAGCTTACTTGATAGACGCAGTAAATGGTGTTGCGACGGATACGAGCCATCATGTCCAGGAAAAGATTGTAGCCTTCTAGCTTGTACTCGATGAGCGGGTCCCTTTGAGCATAGCCTCGGAGTCCAACTGCTTGTTGGATAAACTTCAAAGCTTGGAGGTGTTCCTTCCACAGCTTGTCCACTTGAGTAAGAACGTAGTATCGCTCAGCTTCGTGCATTAGACCTGGAGCTTGTTTCTCAACATCAGCCTGCAAACAGCACGAGGGTGTGAGAAATCTCAGTGACTCCCAGTTTTGGATACGTACTCTCTTTTCAAGGTATGCCTCACGGCCGCGCTTATGTAAATACTCCCGCAAACTCTCAATTGTATCAGCATTTTTTAGTAGCACTTCAACAGATAAGTCATCCAGGAGAAAGCAGTATCTGCAGTGCAGATGTGTTGAGCGTTACGATAGATAAAAGGAAAGTTCTCGAAAAGAAAGTAAAAACTCACTGCTTGACTTTTGATGCTAGACCTTCTAAATCCCATTCTTCCTTTGGAAGCTCGTCGCTAATGTTGGCCTGCACGGAGACAGTAAAAAACGTAAGTAAAAGAATTAACTCTACGCAAACGTACATTGAGAATGTCATCCATTGTCAGTTGAGAGTACTCCATCATAAGCGGCTGCAAATCCTTTGATAGCAAAGCACGCTTACGTTCCGTGTAGACACGATCACGTTGACTATTCAGCACCTCATCGTATTCGAACAGCTGTTTACGGGCTTCAAAATAATAGTTTTCGACTTTTCTTTGAGCCTCGTCCAGCGATTTCGTGAGCATTTTTGACTCGATCGGCAAATCCTCGATTCGGAAAGCTGTCATCAAAGCCTGATAACACCAAAATAAGCATTTGTCAAGATCTACAAAATGACAACTACCTCACCTTTATCCTTTCACCGCCAAATATCCGAAATATGGTATCTTCTAGACTCAAGAAAAATCTTGATGTTCCTGGATCACCTTGCCTACCACTGCGGCCGCGCAACTGTAACAAAGGATGGGGCGTTATGCAGAGAACATCTAAGGTTACTATACCTGATTATCAATTCTTCGTGATTCGTGGCGCTCTGTGCCTATCACGTGAAGGCCACCTGCAGCAACAACCTGCAAGAAAACTATGAGGACAAATCATGAAAACTTTGGCTTCTAACTTTCTTCCTTTCGTCCTCGGTGTATGCTTTGTACTCGGCTGATATGGCTTGAAATGCGTTTCGCAACTTTGCAACAACAGCGTCCTCGGTCGGACCCTACATGCGGCCGATTAGCACCTTCAACACATAACGTATCCACAATTTACCTTTTCGCAAGCGTAAGAAAGCCTGTTCTCTGCCTCAAGCTCCGACAAACTTTTCTTGCCCCAAGACTCGACAGCAGCTTGTACTGCTGCTTCAGCTAGAGATGATGAATTCTCAGAAAGTTTGCAAGGAAACAGATTTTCGTTTGCCTGTAGTAAACACAACACTTTTTTCAGCACGAGGAAAAACTAAGACATACCATCCATGATTTTCTTGTGGGAATCTTCTTTTTCTTTTGAAAAGCAATCTCATCGTCACTTAGTATAACAACCCTGCAGTCAAGGATAAGAAATCCAACCGGACACAGATTCTGGAGTACGTACTTTGGCATGAGCATCTCCCGCAGTTTGATTTTGGACATAAAGTCGGCATTCCCGCCAAGAATAATATCTGTCCCACGACCGGCCATATTCGTTGCTAAGGTGACAGCTCCTACTCGACCACTCTGTGCAATGATCTCAGATTCCCTCTCTACATTCTCTGGCTTTGCATTCAATATCTGTATAGAAAAGAGCTTATTAAAAGTTCACAAAGATTGGAAGCTGGAACTTACTTGGTGAGGAATATTAGCTTCGGATAATTGTTTCGACAAAGATTCACTTTGTTCAACACTTGTGGTACCAACCAATACGGGACGGCCTGCTTTGTGCATGCGTGAGATTTCAACGACAACAGCTGTCCATTTTCCTGTAACCGCTCGAAAAACCACATCAGATTCATCCTGCAAAACAGAGAATTTTGTGCTTGTGAAAACATATGGAAGTTGGAGTCAAACCTTTCTTATCATAGCCCTGTTTGTTGGGACCACAGCGACGGAAAGTTTGTAAATCTTTTCAAACTCAGACCGTTCCGTTGCTGCCGTTCCAGTCATTCCACATAGCCTGGGATACTGCAAAAAAGTCGGGTCTTGCAGCAAATTCGGTGCAAGTCGAAACAAACCTGCAAGAAGAAGTTCTGGTAGCTTATGGAAGCTAATGCAACCGTCTCATTTTGCACAGGTAACGATTCTTTAGCTTCCACAGCTTGATGGAGACCATCGTTCCACCTTCTACCCTGACAAATGCTTACCAGTTTAGCATGACAAGTATGCGCAAATAATCTACATACCGGAAGTGCACGCCCCGTAAATTCGTCAACGATGAGGACGTCTTCACCACGTACTATGTAGTTTACGTCTTTCAGAAACAGTTCTTTTGCTTTGATGGCGTTGATAACATAAGATGCCCATTGTTCCCGAGGGTCATATAAGTCCTTAACATCTAGGATTTCTTCGGCTGCTTCATATCCTTCTTCCGTGATTAGGACTGACTTTTGCTTTTCGTCAACCTGTAAAGCAGCAGCTTTGATAACAAATTGAAAACACGCACAGCAAATACCGTGTAGTGAACATCTCGCGCAAATGCCGCAGCTATTTTGGCAGCTTTGTAGTATCTATCGGTGGGCTTCTCTGCAGGACCAGAAATTATAAGCGGTGTTCGAGCTTCATCTATCAATATAGAGTCCACTTCGTCAATGACGCAAAAATTGAAACTCGGTAACACAAGATCATCTGGGCTCTGAAAATGCAAATTGTTAGTAACAATTTATAAGGCTGAAGGGAATTATACCAGCGCCAAATTGTCCCTCAAGTAATCAAAGCCGAGCTCACTGTTCGTAACATAAGTTATATCAGAGCCGTAGTTTGTTCTTCGCTCCGCACTATCCATTCCCTCTGAAAAATGCTGCAAACATTAGCAACGCAATGTAGTTTGTATACACCATTACCTACGTTGAATGAGACCAACTTTTAAACCCAGGAATCGAGGAATTTGGCCGACCCATTCAGCATCTCGACGGGCCAAGTAGTCGTTTACCGTCACGACATGAACACCTTGGCCGCTTAAAGCATTCAAATATGCTGGAAGAACAGCAACAAGAGTTTTTCCTTCTCCAGTTTTCATCTCAGCAATCTGACCCTTGTGAAGAACCATGCCACCTGAAAGAAGAACACGAAACTGTCAAGGAGACCACACTTGATTTATCCATTGCTTACCAATAAGTTGGACATCAAAAGGTCGCAATCCTAGCACTCGCTTAGACGCTTCCCGGACAACTGCGAAGGCATCCTGCAAATCACGCTCAGAAACACTAGCATTCAAACAAAAATGTTTTGCTCATCCTTACCGGGAGGACACTATCAAGCGATTCTCCAGCCGCGACTCGCGCTTTCAATTCCCCAGTTTTGTTTCGAAGCGCTTCATCGGACAATCCCTCCATTTGTGGCTCCTTTGCATTGATAGCATCCACTGTGGAAGCAAACTTTTGGCGAGTGCTTTCCCCGACGTCTTCGCTTTTAAACAGCCCTCCAAGGAGGCCCCCGAGTGACGCTGCTGCTGCTACGTGATGAGCGCATCGCCTGCGGGCCGCAGCTTGAAGCAGGGAATCCGAGCCACGCCTCAATCTTCCAAATGGCAAGAATGCCGAAGAAGAATCCAGCTGAAATCCACTGCTTCCCGTGGCGCATTGAGGGAAATTCGATGAGCAGTGATGGGAAGTCACGGCGACCGTCGTCGAGACGCATCCCAGGCAGCAGGATGATGACGGCGCGCTCACCTGATTACCGCCCGAGAATCCCAGCTTCATCTTCGCCGCTGCCGCCATCGCGGGAGGATCGATTCAATCGCGCTCTGTAACCTACATCCTCATCCCTAGAAATATCCACGCCCAAAATCTTTGATGTTCTTCGCTTGCTCAAGCAAACGCAGCATCCAATACGATTTGTCCAGGTGGCAGGATTAGGCTCCATTTGCCCGCCCGCCACGTGTGCGACGAATAGTGGTGGATCGTTAAGCTCGTCCATTCCACGTCGGGGACGAATGGCATGTGTTCTAGGAGATCGCGCGCGGGCCCTAATTGTCCAGCGCGGCCGAGGAGATCGACAATGCAGCTATAGTGTTCTTTTGAAAGATCCAATGCGTGATCCACGATCATCGATCGAAAGCAATGGATCCCAGCGTCGAGATCCCCTGCGTGACTACAGCACGAGAGAATGCATTGAAGAACCACTTCATTGGGCGCGATTCCCTGGAGCACCATCGCCCAGAAGAGGCTAAAGGAATCCCAAAGCCGCCCACAGCAGGAATTCGCGGCGATACAAGCCGACCACGCGATTAAGTCGCGCATTGGCATCAAATCGAAGACGCGAGGCACAAGATCGACCTCCCCGCCATGCCCGTACGCAGCGATTAGTGTGTTCCAGCAGACGAGATCCCTGTACGGCATCTTGTCAAACAAAATCTTCGCACGATCTGGATGCCCCAACTGGGCATATACCGCAAGCATAGTTGTCCACGTCACTAGGCTGTGCGCTGGCATGCTCTGGAGCATCCACGTGGCGGAATCCACGCACGCACAGCAGGCTAGGATCATGACCGTCCACGATACAACGGATCTCTCCGGCATTAAATCCAGGACGTTCGCTGCCTGGGACATTTGCCCTCTTTGGGCATATGCTGCAAGAAGAGCGTTCCAAGAGACGCTATTCCTCTTGGGCATGGAGTGGAATATTCTTTCCAATGGGGAACTTCCTTCTTCGATGGATGCTGTAAGGAGCGTATTCCAAGAGATTAGATTTCGCAGAGGCATCCGATCAAAGAGCCTGTAGGCGCTCAATCGATCTCCATCGCGCAAGTAAGAACCCAAGATCGCATTCCAAGGAGCGGCATCATGGATCGGCATGGATTCAAGAATTCGCAGTACTTCATCCGTCGGGAGGCGAGAGATCGCCACAGTGGAAGAAACTAGATCGTGAAGTGGCATCCTGGCGAAGATCTTGAGGAGATCACTGGCGCTTTCTTCCGCGAGAGCCGCGAGAAGGGTCGTCCAGGAAACGAGATCCCTCTCCGGCATTCGATCAAAGAGCCCACACACGAGATTGGAATCCCCCAATCTTGCAAATTCCGTGAGCGCTGCGTTCCATGACACAAGATTTCTCGCTGGAATTCGATCAAACAGAGCGCGGCAATCTGTGCCGCAGCGAATCATCGTCGTCCAGGAGATGATGTTCCTAGATGGCATCACCGCGAAGAAATCACGAGCACCAAGCTCAGATTTCCTCTCCACAAATGCCGCCAAGAGCGAATTCATGGACACCAAGTTCCATTGCGGCATCCTATGGAAAACAAGCCCAGCATGATCGAGCTCGAGGACTCCCAGCACGCAATTCCAGGACACGAGATCGCGCAGTGGAAGATCATCGAAGAAAGCGAGAGTTTGCTCGATCGTGACGCCGCGGCCCCGCGCGAGCCTGCCAAGCAATGCCGTGCCGGAGATGGCATCCGCGAGGGGCATCCGGCGGAAGGTGTCCATGGCCGCGCCCAGGCAAGCGTCATCGCCCTGGCCGAGACACGCGCCAAGGAGGAGCCTCCACGAGAAATCGTTTCGAGCGCTCATGGCGTGGAACTCCTGGAAGGCCTCTTGGATGTCGCAGCATCTGCCGTGCCTCTGGATGGCAAGGTTGGAGAGATAGATCCCGCGCTCGCTGCGCATATGAAATGGGATTTAGGGTTCATCATTCACATGTATTTAGATTTCTAGCAAAATGTAGAGGGAATGCTTGATGACCGCTCATGAGATAGATTTGACAAGCACGAAATCAGCACCAAGCATCTCTTCTCACAGCTTAGACCCTTCTTGAAAGGGGAACGGAATAATCCCCATGCAAATTACATGCTTGCCCAAACAAACTAAGTTAGCAAGTACGCTTTAAGCTGATAATTACAAATTTGTGCGGGAATTAGGGTTCCTGGGTATAGGGCTTTGATAGAGGGCATGGCGCTGGCTCAAATGCAGATGCCGCTCATGCGTCTCGGCGGTTCCAAGCCCGCCGGACGCAACAGAAGGAGCAGCAAAATCTCTAATCCGAAGAAGGTTGCCAAGGAGGAGCTAGTCACTGTGCTCCATTTTCCCAGGAAACCAATGGAGGAGGAAATCGAGAAGGAATCCAGCACTGCGAGTAGCGATAGGTATTCATATCTCAGCGATGGTAAGCTCGACAAATTCCACAGGCTTCGCTCTCCCAGAGCTGCTCGAGAGCTCTCCTTGTAAGCCAAGTTTGTTATCGTTTTCCTTGGTTATCTTATCCATTTCTCGTTCGTAGGTGTGTGTTATATGCGGGATTGGTGTCTGGCAGTGATCCATTGGAAGTTTTAGAAGATCGAATGCAAGCTAGAAGAGGTAATAAAAATCTTTCCAGCCACATGTTTGGTCTTTATATATATTTTTTTGTTCTTCTCTAGAGCGTGTTGATGAGAAGGTACTGGACCAATACGATCATGACGCCAAGAGCGGCGAGCCTCTCTATGTGAGCTGTGAAAGCGAAGCCAAAGAACTGGAATTCCAGCAAGAACAACAGTCAGAAATTGGTAAAAGCTCTATCTTATTCTCAAAGTTTTGTCCTGAGCACCACTTTTCTTGTTGCAGATGCGGCGCTACTAACTGCTCATCCTTGTGTAGTTTACAATAAGTTTGTTCTAAGGTATGGGAAGGAGGTGACTTTGTGTTCTCGTTTTTTTATCTGGATCTCGTTGAGATGCTGCAGTCTTGCGGAGAAGATCATAAAAGCGACCTCAGAGGGACGGGAAAAACAAGAAGCAGTTGTCAAAGAGCTTCTTCCCTCGACATGGAAGGTAGAGTAGCTAAGTTCCTCTTTTCTTCTTTGTTTTTCCGAGAAGTGACGTGAGTTTTCATAAAGACATTTTTCGTGTCAGGACGAGAGCAATGGAAAACTCCTTGAAACAACAATTATGCACATGGCTATTGCAGAGATAGAGGTTCTGGGGACATCTCCAAACATTGTCATTAACGAGGTTTGTGTGCATTGTTTTCGCTTTATAAACTCATGCCGCTCACTCACTCTGACTTTTATAAACTTTCCTTGTTGTTTTACCCAGGCCGTGGAGCTTGCCAAGAGATTTTGCGATGGCTTTGCCCCACGAGTGGTGAACGGCTGCCTCGGGAATTACTTCCGCAGCCGACAACCGCGCCGTAACATGTCTCCTGTTGCCAAGGGCCTGCAAGCATCCTCGAGCGCCTCGCTTTACGAGAGTATTGGCTGGAAGGATGAATACGATGACTGATTGACAGTTGTTTCTCTGGGAAAAGAAGAGGAAGGGGAAGAAGGATTCGCTTCGCAGCACGCACTCCGGTGGGTTTGTTGTTATACTTTTTTGAAGTCTACAGAGCTCAAAAAATTTCCAGACGGCCCATCCGCCAGCCAGCCAGTACAACGGAGGCAGCAGGGGGCCATGCTTTGCTACTAGCTACAAGCAGACACAAGGACGGTTGTTTTCTAGCTAGCTACTTGGATCTCTGGCAGCTGAATCTCCAGTTGGTGCTCGCTCCAACAAAAATTATAGCAGACACCACGGGGGGTGAATATGAGTCGGACACCAGCAGCTCCTTCAACTCTTGGGCTGAAAACAAGTTGAATCGAGCTGGAGCCAGCCAAAGCGGCCAACCAGCCAGCCAGCTCCATCGATCGTCCGTAAGTTATAGTCGGCAGACACTTACAAAAGCAGCAGCGGCAGTAAAGCAGCGATCGGTTGAGAAGTTGAGAGAAATGTTTGGAGGTGATGAATTCACGCCACTCTCCCTCACAGGCCCAGGAGCACGTAGTAGAGCATTGTGATGGGAAAGGCCACCAGCATGCCGAATATCACCCTGGCAGAGAGGTACACACAGATGCAACAGGCGGGCAGTGTGAGTTGAGAGAGAATTGAATGCACACACAGTGTGTGTGGTGCGGGGGGGCACAGAGAAGGGAGGGAGGAGGAAAAGGAGAAAGTACGTACGCTGTGCTGAGGACGTCTGGATGCACGTTGTACTCCTTCGCGAAGACGAATGGGACAATGCCTTGGGGAAGCGAGGCCTGAAAGCGTTGTTTTTCCGAAATCCAAGTCAAGAGTTAGCGGGCTAGACGAGAAGACGGACATGGAGGCAGCGAGAAGCGGGCCAGCTAGAGAAGAACACGACTTGGAAGAGCGAAGAACGAGGAAAGACAACGGAACTTGGAAGAGAGATGGAGAGCTACTTTTCGAAGAAGGAAGGAGAAGTGGAAGCTGTGCTGGAAGGATGGAAACGGGGGTATACCTGTACTATAGAGACGTGGAGATTGACACCTTTGAGGCCGACAGCTATGGAAGTTGCTGCCATTACCGCAGGGCCTGTTACAAAGCGTACCACCATCCCGAACAACGCCATTGATGTGCCACACACCAGAATGCGCTTCTGCAATGCCATGAACAGGCCTGCAACAAAACCAAGAGAAGATACTCCCTCGATCAAACAAGCTCGCAGGATGGAAAACCACAGCAGGGTGAAAGAGAAGAGAGCCAGTACCTAAGCTGAACATGGCCATTCCGAGTCCGGCCTTGGATAAGATTTGGATGGAGTTGTCGATGATAGCCGGCATCCTGACGTGCCACCTTCCAGAAACAGCGACAAGAGACGGAAGGATGAGCAACGAAGTGGAAGAAAACTTGCACTTACTTGTAGGCGACGAGAGCCCAGCCGAGGCCGAGCAAGCTGGAGTACGTGTTGGGATTGCGGATCAGCTTTCTCCACACCATGTCCACGATGAGCCGGGTCATGACACCAACAGAGGGCATCTCGGTCGGCTGATCGTCCGCGAGGTTGCTGCTGTTCTTCGGAGGCATTTCCAAGCCGGAGCTGGAATTTCGAGCAGGAATGTTGGTGCTGCTGTTGCCCTCGTCCACTCCTCCAGCGTGACCGAAGCTAAAGTCGTGAGGAGCTCCGGACGCTGCTGTTGCCGTTGCTGGAGATGGACATAAACACCGGACAGGAGAAAAAAACAGAGCACAGGCCATCAGTCGGCTATGGTGGTGCGCGAGAAACGAAAACTTTGGAAACTTACAATCGTCATCGTCACCTACGAGAAGCCGGACGTCCTTGTTATTGTTGGAGCGGAAGTCATCGTTGAGCATTCGGACATTGCCTTCGGAAATTGGAGAGCCGCTGGAACTCCACACGAACATATGGACGAGGTCGTTCTTGCTGGCAGCAGCATTGAGAGCTGGAGCTGGAGCTGGAGGAGCAGGGGCAGGGGGTGGAGCAGGAACAGGAGGAGGAATCATCCGAGACGGTGGAGGAGCGGACTTTGTCGACGGCCGGTGCTGCTCTTCGATGTTAAAGTTGGAAGTTCTCGGCGTCGGCCCCCTGGAAGAATGGAGCGAGTAGATATCCGAGGCAGTGAAGCTCGAGTGGCGAGGTGGCGGCGGCGGCGGCGGTGGTGGTGGATTGTTGAAAGCCGGCATCATCATCATCATGGAGTAGTACTCGGCGTGGTTGAAGCTGGACTCCCGCGGGGTCATGTTCCTCGAGGAGTGGATCGAATAGATGTCAGCTCCGGTGAGATTGGAAGGCCGCGGCGTGAGAGCTTTCGAGGACGCGATGGGAGAAGGAGGATAGAGGTCGTGCCTGGAAGCAGTGGAGCGCCGCACAGTGACGTGAATCTTACCGTCGTCACCAATCTCCGCGTCGGCCTGGATGGGCTCTCTGTTTCCATCCAGAGAGACTACATCCGAGTCGACTTTGAAGGAGACGATGGACGCAGCGGTCTTGGGGAACTGGTCCCGGATGAGGTTCCTGGCACTGCGGTACTCGTAGAAGACGAGCAGCAGCGTGTACCAGATGATGCATTGGAGGACCACTGCCTGGACGACGAGACTTCCAGACTCGGTGCCATACATCGCTGCGAGCAAAGGGATCCCCATGACCAGAGTGTTGGGAAGCGTGGCCAGCATGAAGAGAGTGATAGTCCACTCCATGCTTCCATTGTTGGAGTAGCGGCACCAGACGAGAAGAACCGCGAGAATGGCCAGCTTCTGGAGGACGTCGGCGGCGATGAACTGCGCGTTCATCTTGTAAGGATCGTTGGTGGCGAGAATCTGGAAGGAGAGGAGTGGGACCGCGAAGATCGCCACGAAGCGATTGATGCCGCCGCATTGATCCGGAGTGAGGATCTTCCACCACCGGACGGAGCCGTAGGCCAGGATCATTGCGACGTAGAGCGGCACCACGGCGCTCATCACCACATAGAAGTCGTGCGCGCTGATCATCGTGAAAGGTTCTTCTCTTTTCTTCCTTCGGATCTTCTTCTTTGCGCTTACTTACCAGTGCTCTTTGAGCAGGACTTTCTTGACACTCGCTCGCTCTACGACTCGGTCGCTCGATCTTCTACAGAAGCTGAGAAGAGGAAAGAAAAGGAACTCTTGTCCAATCCGGCGACTTCTCTCCACTCCAAGTAAGCTTTCGAATCATTCCTTAGATTTCTCGGGAAGAAGGAACTCGAGAAGAGCAAAACGACTGACTACCACTCCTGACTGCCTCGCTCTCGTGCTTGCGCTTGCTTGCTCCCTCCCAGGAGCTCGCGTCGCTTCCTCCAACGAGCAGCTCGTTAGCAGCGCAATTGGATTCCATCCAAGTAGAAAAAGAAGAAGAACAAGGACGTGAAAAAAAAAAGTGGGAGAAAACGCTGCTAAAAACTAGCGAGACGATGCGAGGAGCGAATCAAATGGAAGAAGACGGTTGCGGCGAAGAAGCTCAACGCCCCAAAAGCTACCACACGCTGTCCCCCAATCCATCATCAAGCACACTACAGCGCTCACACTAAATTTATATATAGTTGCAATTTTCTACGACCAAAACCATATAAAACTCTATACGCAATAAACTAGAGCTGCTCTTTACTTCCACGGCTTTAGAAAAAAGAAAATATCAAAGCCCACTCCACCAAGAACGCTTAGATGTATTTGCACAGTAGAGATACCCACCTACACTACACACTAAAGTTCCAGAGAACAGTCAGGCGTGCTCCACAACCCATAATTACGTGTAATCAACCCGCAAGAGAAAATTATTCCCCGTGTGCGTGTGGGTATATTCCCCAGGCCCATACCACTCGATTGCATTGTGCTCGATGTTTTATACCTTTTACCTCCGCCATTGTATTTTAAGCGGAAAAGAACCCATCACGAAGCCCTAATCTAACCCTAAATGGAAAAAGGTGGCGGTCCGGGGGAATCTTGTTGCCCCCTGCACGTGAGAATGTCAGTGATGTAATGTCGGGTGGCGGCACCATGCCTGACACGTGGCAGGGGGCGTGCCGCATATCATGCGAACATGCCATGGTGAAGAGGACAGGGGGACATGGATGGGTCTGGCTGGCCGACACTGGCCCATGCCGCATTTGTGTACGGAATGATGGAGGTTGCAGCAGCCAGCAAGCAAACTTTCTGGTTTGCTTTTCCTTGAAATTACAAGTTCACATTTCAATATGTTTTCTTATTTAGAGTCCAATTGAATTTTTGGGTTTGGTAGCATCTAGACATTGGCAAAATAGTTATAAAATATAATTACGATTCTAGATAATAGTATAAAACTACTAGTTTTTATGTAATAAAATAACTTTAAAAGAGTTATAGTTTTAGTACTAAAACTATAACATAAATACATAATCATTTACTACATCTTGTAATCCTTAGTTTGATTACTCATCTTTCCTAAATATTGAAACAGTTTTGTTTTAGCTTAAACAATATAAACTTAGTATAAGATAATGAGAAGCTTCAAATTCATACTTAGCATGATTTTGCTACAACTAATTTATACTAAAGTCTTTTTTCTTTCCTAATGAATAAATCACTATAAAAATTATTTTAATAAGGAAATAACTAGTATTTTATATGGCATGCTTTGCCAAATTGTCAAATACTTAGTCTCTTTCAAATTTAATACTTATTTACTTCGTATCCAAAATCTAAATACAACTTCTACTGTGGTTCAAAGTTATAATAGAAACACTGAGTATAGAAAAAAGCAACAGTGATAAAAATACTTCAAAGAATAAGTATATAGAGACTTTTAATAGCTTATATGATTAAAATTATTTACAATTAAAAATAATTAAGAAATATTATAAATAAACTAAAATACAATTTAACAAAGTGTATAAATAATTTATAAATATAAGATTAATATAAATAAATAAAACCTAAAATATATAGTATATTTTAGAAAACAAAAAAGACTTTGGGACTAATTGACATTTAAAAAGTATAAACTTAATTGTATTATGTGAGTGCATGGAATATATGGCTTGTTTTATTCTTGGTGTTTTGCTGTCTCCTGTTAATGTGGAGCGTGATCGTGACATTAATTAACAAGTTATGGATAATGCAGTTTAATTCTTAGAGAATGTTCAAGGATTGAGTTTATGGGAAGACAATATGTATCAGCTCAAATGATTGTAATGAGGAACTTAATTATTATAAAGATAACTTTAGAGACAAAAACATTTCATGGGATAAGTATCAATCCTTTAATTTACCATCTGATTCTCCTTTTTTACCTTTTGCTCTTTCCTAACTTTTTCTTATTTCTCAGCTTGAGCCATTTTCTTGTATTTTTAGTGTTTCTTCCTTATCTATAGTGTTTTTTTTTTAATACGTTAATCATTTGTGACTCTTATGATTCTCATTTTCAGTTTGGTATTAGGTTGAGTGTTTTATGTCCTCATCATACTAATCTAGATGTTAATTATGCGCATGAAGTTAAAAATCTTGCTTTTGTTTCATTGGCAAAGTATTTGAACAATTTTAGTGTTGAGTATTCCTTTGTTCCAAGAGTTAAATCACTTTAGCTAAAGTTTTAGATTGAATGTCTGTCCCCATTTGTAAGTATTACTCAAATCCTTTATTTTACTGTTGTTATTGAAGAGTTTATATATTTCTTTAAGAGTGTAAACATTTCTATTGATTTTCCCTTCTTAAATGTTGAATTGTGTGTTAAAAAGGTTGAGCGAGTAAATCTTATGCTGATATTGTGGTGACTGAAGTATTTTATAAAAAGTCCTTTATTTCCAAACTTTAGCCACATGTTTTTCTTTTAATTTCCCCATTTTAGCATTGTCAACTAATGTAAATACTTCTTTCAATGCTTCTTTATCCACTTTTTCTTATTTCATAATATTTCTTCCTTAATTTTGTTCTTGCTTTCTTTTTTTTACCTTGATGCTTCAAACTTTTTTTTCTTTAGGGAAGGGGGTAGAGAGGACAAATGAGAGTTTAGCCCTAACGATGGAATAAAGATAAATGGATACAGTAGTGGAGTAAAGACAAATGACATGGATTGTGAAGTGAAAACAAACATAACAAGTCCGAATAGAATATTTGGCCCTCAAGTAGTGAAACTAAATAGATGTAATAATGAAGTGAGGCCAAATATAAATAGTAGGGTAAGGACAAACACAACAAATTTGAATAGATATAGTGCTTTAAAACTTTTTTTTCCTTCGAGGAAAGAAGGAGTATGTGGAGGACGAATGGAGTGAGTGTAACCTCCCATGTGCAATGCTAGATAAGGATGATGGTTGTGAGTTTAAGTTAATACGAGTCTTAAATATTGACCAAAGCAAAGATATAAAGGTAGGTTTTACTTATAGTCATGAGTTCAAGTTAGTAATGGTCTTGGAGGATTGTCAACAAGTAAATTGAGAGATAAGATGTATTGTTTGTTGTAATAATGTGTTATAAACTATAATGGTTTTCAAAGTCCTTTGTTTCAATTCAAAATTATAACTTTCTGGTTGCAATTGAATATGGAATTATAATTAGTTCATTGGTTTTTTGTAATTGATTAATGCTTGTGCCATGGTTTTAGATTTTATTTTAGCCATAGTTGTTTGTAAGTTTATTAATGGTTTTGTATTTTAGATTCTTGTAGTAGTCTAAATGTTCCACTTGACTTATTGTCATCAACTTCTCATATCTCATCTATATAACTTCTCATATCTCATCTATATTTACAAACATTATACCATACTCCCCTTTGGAAGATGAGAAGTTGATGACACGGAGGTAGTAAGATCGAGATGAGAAGTCCATGTACATGTAATACATGTATTACCATAGAAATTATATTTCAAACTCTTGTAAAATTAACTGTCCAATATTGAAAATATTTTAGACTACAGTAACATCTGGTTTAATTTTCATTTGAAACTAGCTTTTAAATTATAAACATGTCTAAAAGTTATAAATACAAGATGGTAGAATATTCTAGAATATCCAGTATATATCTTATAACGGGAAAATATAAAAAACAAAAAACAATTGTGCCTAGTCAGTATTTCACTTTATCAATCGAACATTCCCCTCTATTTCGTTCAATTGGCTCCAGTCTACATGCCAACACGTACACCAAGCTTTTTCCTAGGTGGTCCTCGACAGCCTTAACTCCTTACAATGACTGTAAAAAGGTAGCTGACGCTTGGAGCCAAATCTTCACGAGAATACTCATATCTCAAATAATTTCAGTTCATGACATAGATATGGCAATGGATGGACAAGCTCGTTACAAAGAAAACAGGAAGTTCCTGTTCTCCACCTCCAAGTTTTATCTCTTCTACTCCAATGTGAATCAAAAGCGGAATAACATACATATATATTACACTCCTCAATGGAAGAACTCACTTCTTTGGAACAAATGGAGCCTTGAGCTTGTCCACGACATTGGTACCCACAAACAGAGTCTTGGAGAGCACGAAGTCCGGGATGCCACTGCCCAGCAGCGCGCTCGCAACGAGCTGGAATCCGGGCGACTGGCTGCTCAAGCTCGCAAACGCCAAAGCCGTGGAATTCCCGGCATTCACCTGGAAGTGGATGAGCCCCTTCGGAAACGCCATCACCTCGCCCTTGTTGACCGTAGCGGCATACAACTTGTTGTCCGTGGTGATGAACCCGGCGTAGATGGTTCCCTCGAGGACGTGGAAGAGCTCGGACGCGCGCGGGTGCGTGTGCGGCGGGACGAGGCCTCCCTTGGCGAAATCCAGGCGCGCGATGGACAGGCCGAGCGTGTTGAGAGCCGGGAAGGCCTGGACGACCCCAAACACGGCCCCCAGGCCATTGGCGTTGTTGGTGCTGGCCGGGGTGGCGAGGCCCTTGAAGACGAAGTCGGCGGCGCTGGGAGGGGATGTCTTGCAAGGGTATCCATTGACGGAGAGCTTGGAGGTGAGGTCGGCGACGCAGGTGTCCTGGAGGGGATCACTATCGTAGGCATTTGTGGTGCTGGGCGAGAATGCAAGTGCTACGAGGAGGAGCATCACTGCTGCTGCTGCCATTGCGACTGGAGTTGGAGCGGAGGAGGACATTTGGAGAGGAGACATGGCGCGTGAATTTCTTTCGGAGTTGGGGACTGGGGATTGGGAGGAGAGTAGCCTCCAAAGGTCTT